AAGTGCACCTGGTAGGCACCATATTTTTGTTCCTGAATCACTCAAAGAACCATTCGCTGGGCATAAAATCCTTCACTGTGTTTTCTTTCCTTGAGTTTCTTCAAAGTGTCTTCCCACTGCTGTCTTGCTTTCAATGCTGCTGTTACAAGTCTGAAACTAGACTTTGTAAATAACTTGTAACTTTGTACATCTCTGTAAATTTCCGTAAATAACTTGGTCCTTCTGCCTGGATGCTCTGCTGATATTCTCTTTATCTTTAGAATTTAGTCTTTATAGAGCGTTAAGTGTTGAGTCGACCATTCCTGGAATGGCAGAGGACTATATTTCCATGTACATTTGGGTCTGATTTTATTTTAGGAAAGTTTTCTTGACTTCCAGTTTTAAATTCTTAGTTCTGTTTCATTGCCTTTAGTTCTTCAGGGTCACCAGTTACAGGTAAATTGGATCTCTTTTCAACAGACACTTTGGTTTTGATTTTTTCTATTTCCTTCATTTCTATCCTTACTGTGCTTTCAGTTGTAACTACTATCCCTCTGGGGCACCTTATCATTTACTATTAATTTCAGAGATTATCTTTGACTTTTCTTCATTTGCTTTCCTTAATTAGCTCTCTTTTCATATCTCCCGTTGTTTATCCACTCCCCCAATCTCATTTTATGAAGAGCTGGCTCAGGGTGTTTTTTCACATTTGCAATTGCCTGTTAATTACATTTCATTTGTGCTGTTTTACTCCTTGGCTGTTTTCGGCCAGTATTTTGTTACACATTTTCTATTTCTTTTCCTGTGGTTATATTGTATGATGCTAGGTGCTTAGGTTTATATTAATTGACTTAGACTCGGCAAGCTGATGAATGGAGTCAGAACAGAGAGAGCTGAGGAACACAGCTCAGCCATGCACTCTTCTCTTGCTTCTCTAAAGTACAGTTTAACTAGGAAGAGAGATTTTCTTCCTCTTCCACCTCCCCCTGCCCTTAGGGGAGCCCTTCTTTGGGGGATGATTTGTTGTTTTACTAAGTTCCTTATTTTCAGCTAATTCTTCTCTTCCCTTTCACACCAAACCTCCAGGAAACAACTCCCAGGAGCAGAATCTCCCAACCCATGCACTTTCCAAGACTCTCTCTTTTATCCCCTCAAAAGCCAATGCTGGGCCAGGTGCGGTGGGTCACGCCTGTAATCCCAGCACTTTGGGAGGCCAAGGTGGGTGGATCATGAGGTCAAGAGATCGAGACCATCCTGGCCAACATGGTGAAACCCCATCTCTACTAAATACAAAAAAAATTAGCCGGGCATGGTGGCACATGCCTGTAATCCCAGCTACTCGGGTGGCTGAGACAGGAGAATCATTTGAACCTAGGAGGCGGAGGTTGCGGTGAGCAGAGATCGCGCCACTGCACTCCAGCCTGGGTAACAAATGCGAAACTCCGTCTCAAGAAAAAAAAAAAAAAAAAAAGAAGCCAATGCTGAATCACATTTCACAAGTCTCTTAGTATCTCCCCAGTGAGGGTGGGACCGGCCCCTGCTGCACTCTCTTATGCCTGGTACTGATGGCTCAGGGCTCTGGCCTGGCCCTGAAACCCTGTCTCCTGGTCTTGGGAGGAAACAGAGGTTTGCTACATTCATTGTCCCCTAGTTGTGGTATAATCGTGGACTATGGGCAACTATATTTTCTTCCTGATTAACTGTATGGTTTTATTTCAGGGGGCTATATGGAGAGATTCTGATTTGGTGGGATCCCCTATATCCAATCATAATTTTAAAAAAATCGCAAGCACAGACAGAAAAGAAATCAAATAAAAACAACTTCTTAACCATTATAAATAGACTAAGACATCACAGGTTGTTGTTGTTTTTTTTTTTTTATAAAACCCTAAGATAATTACTTGTTGAAGAAAAGTGACATGAAATTAAAATAGAAAACACAGTTTACATGGTGAGAATGAAATGGGCATGCAGATTATTGCCCTGGTGTCCATGTCCTGGGTGTCAGGTGCCGTCTGAGGGGATTCTATCGATTAGGAGACGTCAAGGCACAGCAGCTGATGACATGCATTTGCTGGTAACTCAGGGGACCCAGTGGTGTCTGTGTGCACAGCAGAGAGTGGCCTAAGACTGACAGGCTGGGACTCCCTTTCCTCACTGAGCTACTTAACCGCAGCCTTGGAGTTGGCTTTTTCTTGTCGTTGCTTTTTTTTTTTTAATTCAGCAAGAGAAAAAAAAAAATCAGAATGTTCTTATTTTCCCTCATACCATATGAAATTTTCTCAAAGCAGCCTTCCTGGTGACTGTTAGAACTACGAGACACTAGCATGGATTTTCCAGGATACTTTCAGGTGACAAGATCTAACTCTGCTACACAGAAAAAGTAAAGTGTGTTTCCAAAATTGTCCTTTAAAAATAGTCATAGGAGGCTGAGCGTGGTGGCTCACGCCTGTAATCCCAGCACTTTGAGAGGCCGAGGTGGGTGGATCACAAGAGATCGAGACCATCCTGGTTAACATGGTGAAACCCCGTCTCTACTAAAAGTACAAAAAAATTAGCTGGGCATGGTGGTGCATGCCTGTAATACCAGCTACTCGAGAGGCTGAGTCAGGAGAACTGCCTGAACCCAGGAGGCGGAGGTTGTGGTGAGCCGAGATCATGCCATTGAACTCCAGCCTGGGTAACAAGAGCGAAACTCCGTCTCAAAAAAAATAAAAATAAAAAATAAAAAAGTAGCCGAGCGTGGTGGTGCATGCCTGTAATCCCTGCTACTCAGGAGGCTGAGGCAGGAGAATCGCTTGAACCCACGAGGCGAAGGTTACAGTAAGCCGAGATCATGCCATTGCACTCCAGCCTGGGCAACAAGAGCAAAACTCCATCTCAAAAAAGAAGAAAAGAGTCATAGGAATAATAACAAATTACTATTGTGAATTTTTTTTTTAAAGAAAGGCAGGATCTCACTGTGTTGCCCAAGCTAGTCTCAGACTCCTAACCTCAAGCAATCCTCCTGCCTCAGCCTCCCAAAGGGCTGGGATGACAGACATGAGCCACTGTGCCTGGCCAATTATTTTTATTATAATAATTATGTTATAAATTATTACATAGTATATATCATTTATTAGATCATACATTACATGCTATATAATGTATAATATTTCACATTGTATAATTCAATGTATATTAACATAAGTTTTGTTTTATAATTTAGAACAATATAATCTATAATAATACATCATAAAACAATCAGGATTCGGAAACCATTCGCCTCTATATTCCTTTCAGAGCCACTGGCACGCACACCTGCAGTGGTTTCGGGCTGTGGGGTGCGTGCTGCACTATTTGGTTTTTGCGGCATGATGGGAAGGGTTTAATATTATTCTAGAACGTAAAGGAAACTACGAGAACAGACAAGAGTCCAAGTTTTCCAGTCCAAAAATCAGGTATCACCTTGAACAAGCAGTGAAGGCTGGAACGCGTATCTGAAATTTATCAATTACAAAGCCAGCAGGCGGTGAGGAGGCTCTGCCTGTCTGGCCTGGCCTGCAAGCAGCTGGCAGCACCTTGGCAGGCTCCATGAGTAGGCACCACACTCCCTCCAATTCTGGCTTCAGCCCCTAAGTTGGAATATTCCAGGAACCAGGAAATGATTCAGACCCGAATCTGCCAATCAGCCCCCGCACAGAATTTGGTCTGCTTCTGGCCCCTTCAATCCTCAGTCGCCTCACCAGTCCTGTGAGCAACAGGACCCTCAGGCAGTGAGCATCCTGGAGGCCACCTCCGATGCTGGACACCTTGCCAAAGCCCTTTCTGCAGGGCCAAGGGGTCTGGAACTGACAGGCATGTGTGACACAGCGGGACGCCTGCTGATCAGGAAGTGGCACATTTCAAAACACTATGTATGTCCTTGTATCTCTATGCTGAGAGCCCACTCAGAATACCAAGCTATCTCATTTTTATTCTAAATGAAAGGGTAAGGTTTTTGTAGACAGGGTCTCCCTATGTTGCCCAGGCTGATCTCAAACTCCTGGCTCCGGTGAGCCTCCCACCTTGGCTTCTGAAAGTGCTGGCTTTACAGGGGTGAGCCACTGTGCCTGGCCCTTAAGACTTTGACATCCTCCAGAAAAAAAGAGAGTAGCCTATTGAAGACACACAAGGATTTCTGGTCCAGCAAAGCTTTCAAGAATGAAGGACAAGAGACAGCTGTGTTTATGTTCACATGGAGTTACCACATCTTCCCATCCTCCCTCTGCATGTGTCTGTTTCTGCATCTCCTCTTCTTAGAAGCACACTGGGCATACTGGAATAGGATTTACCCTAATAACCTCATTTTGCCTTGATAAGCTCTGTGAAGACCCCTTCTCCAAATAAGGGCAGGTTCTGAGATGCTGGAGCTTAAGACTTCAACGAATGAATTTGGAGGAGACACAGTGTTACTCAAAACAGGCACTGAGAATCAACGGCTGCCAGCTCACAGAAAGATGGGTGAACAAACACAGTTCTTCCTCTAATCCTGTAGAGGAAGCAGGATATGTGGTTCCTCTAATCCTGCCAAAGAGACGGGACCAAGTCTGACCAAGTACTGGATCCAGCTGCCAGTGTACAGGAGAGAGAGGGCTGACCTTCCCAGGAATGCACCCATCCAAAATAAGACAGGAGACATTCCACAGGTCAAATGTCCCGAAGTCTTCAACAGGTGTTTATAAGGAAGAGACAGGGACGAACAGGATAGCGGTTCCTCAAAAAATCAAACACATAAATTTCCTCATCATTCAGCAGTCCTACTTCTGGGTGTATACCCAAAAGAATTAAAAGCAGGGTCTATCTCAGAGAGACGATTTGTACACACATGCTCACAGCAACATTATTCAGAGTCCCCAGAAGGTGGAAACAACCCAAGTGTCCATCCTGGATGAATGTGGTCTCTACACACAGGGTAGAATATTATTCATCCTTCACAGGGAAGGAAATCCTGACGCTTGCTACAACACTGTGAGAACATTATGCTAAGGGAAAGAAGTGAGTCACACAAAAATCATTGTAGGATTCCACTTGTGTGAGGTGCCTCGAACAGTAAAATTCACAGCCAGAAAGCAGGATGGTGCTGGTCGGGGGATGTGGGAAGAGGAGAACGGACAGTTATCGGTGAATGAATACAGAGGTTCCATTTTGGGAAGATGAAAACATTCTGGAGGTGAATGGTGGTGACGGCTGGACAATGTGATTGTACTTGATGTCACTGAACGGGACACTTCAACAATGCTTAAGATGATGCGTGCGTATGGATCTCTCACCACAATTAAGAATAAAAACTTGGAGCAGTGTGAAGAAGAGGAGGCGAGAACAACCCCCGGGCCCATCAAAGCCCACGCACCACTGCGCCCAGCGCCTGCATCCCACGGCCATCGCCACTATGCCCAGGAGAAAGGCGGAAGGGGACACTAAAGGAGAGAAAGCTAAGGTGAAGGATGAACCACAGAGAAGATCTGTGAGGTTGTCTGCTAAACCTGTTCCTCCAAAGCCAGAGCCCAAGCCTAAAAAGGCACCTACAAAGAAGGGAGAGAAGGTACCCAAAGGGAAAGAGGGAAAAGCTGATGCTGGCAAGGAAGGGAATAGCCCTACAGGAAAGGGAGACGCCCAAACAGACCAGGCGCAGGAAGCCGAAGGTGCTGGAGATGCCAAGTGAAGTGTGTGCATTTTTGATAACTGGGTACTTCTGGTGACTGTACAGTTTGAAATACTATTTTTATCAAGTTTTATAAAATGCAGAATTTTGTTTTACCTTTTTTTTTTTAGCTATGTTGTTAGCACACAGAACACTTCATTGCTGTTTTTGGAGAAGGGGCAGATGTCACTAATAGAATGTCTCCAAAGCTGGATTGATGTGGGGAAATGCCTTTCTCTTCTAGTTTTGAGAGACTTCCTCTTGGCTCCCAGGAGGAGGGATTCCCTGACTTTGACACACACGGCCACTTTGGCACACAAAAGCCTTGTGGTATGAAAAACAAATTCCTTTTTATGTCCTCTTCTCCCTTTCAGCATAGACTTAACTCCCTTAAGCCCAGGCATCTCCTGAAACCTGACCCCAGTCACTGGTTCCCAGTGTGTCAGGCAATCCGGAATTGCCAGTGATGCCACTGAGATGACACCTGTCAAAAGAGCAGTGGTTCCATTTCTAGACTGTGGATCTTCAGATAAATTCTGCCATTTTCATTTCGCCTCCTGAAAGTCAGGGTCAGCTCGTGAAAAGCTGCTAAACAACATGCGAAAGGTGAACTGTCAACCCTCCCTCTGAACTCTCCCTGTTCAGGGCATCAGAAGACGACTTCAGTGGGGTTTAGAGTGGCTTTCTGATTTTCGGTGGTCCATCAAAGAAGGGAGTTTGAAAGTTGTTGTATACTGTTAACGACTGGCTGCCCATGTCCTGCCTGAAATACCATGATTGTTTACGGGAAGTATCTTTAATAAAGCTGGGTACAGTTTGAAAAATAAATAAATAAACAAAAATAAAAACTTACAATACATTTTTAAAAATAAAGAGGGGAAGGAGAGAGGAACCTGCAATTTGTAACACTTGAAGACTATCAACTTCTAGATGCAGAGCAAGATGGTACAGACTGCTTTTCCTTCTCCCCTCTACTGTATGGAAAAGTCAGACTTACAATTTTAGTACATTAGATTGTAGTTATGATTCAAAACTCTGTGAATGCAGTAAAAACCACTGAACACTGTACACTTTGAAGGTGTGAATTACATGGTATGTGATTTATGACTCAATAAAGTTGCTACCAAAAAAAAATAAATGAAGGAGAAATAAAGATATTCTCAGAAGAAGAGAAGCTAAAAAATGTATTATTAGCAGATCCACCTTTAAAGAATGGCTAGTCTCCAAACAGAAAAAGAAACTAAGAGAAAACTAGGACTATTCTTCACCTCGTGAGGTTCTTTAATCAACTTTAATTTAAAGCAAAAGTTATGACATCATACGATAAGGTACTCAGTGGATATAGAGGAAATATTTAAGACAATTATATTTAAAAAGTGGTAAAACTCTAATCCCAGTAGGCTGACATGATATTTACAGCAACCATAAAGAACACTATACTTGGCTCACGCCTTTAATCCCAGCACTTTGGGAGGCCAAGTCAGGTGGATCACCTGAGGTCGGGAGTTCAAGACCAGCCTGATCAACATACAGAAACGCTGTCTCCGCTAAAAATGCAAAAAATTAGCCAGGCATGGTAACACACACCTGTAATCCCAGCTACTTGGGAGGCTGACGCAGGAGAATCACTTGAACCCAGGAGGTGGAGGTTGAGGTGAGCCGAGATCACGCCACTGCACTCCAGCCTGGGCAACAAGAGAAAAACTCCATCTCAAATAATAATAATATTTAAAAAATAAGAACACTATACAACAAAAGCCATCCATTCAAACACAGTATAAATAAGAAAACATGGGACTCTCAAAATATGTTTGTCATCCAGGAAGGCAAGGCAAGAGGAAACAGGAATGAGAAAGAGAAGAAAAAAAAATCACAAAATGTAGACCTAAACCCTAACAAGTCAGTAATTATTTTAAATATGAATGGTCTAACTACATCAAATAAAAGAAATGGGAAGAATGGATTTAAAAAAATAACCTACAGGCTACCTATAAGAAGTTCACTTCCAGTAGAATATTGGTAGGCTGAAAGTAAAGGTGGGAAAAGATTTGGCATGCCAACATTAATTATGAGGAAGCAAAAGTGGCTATATTAATATCAAAGTAGACTTCAGAGTAAAGAAAATTAATAAAGACAAGGAATAATATTATATAATAATAAAATGCTCCACCTACCAAGAACATACAGAAGTTCTAAATGCATACCCACCAGACAACAGTGCCTCAAAACTCATACAGCAAAAACAAAACTTGCCAAGGAGAAAAACAGACAAATGTACAACCGTATTTGGGAACATCAATACCCACTCTCAGCAAACGACAGAAAGAGACAGAAAATCAGCAAGGATACACAGAAGTGGACACCACCATCCACCGAAAAGATGGCACTGAGAATTTACAGGACGCTCGACCCAACAGTTGGAGAGTTCACATTCTTTTCAATTGTCCACGGAACATACACTCACATAGACCCTTATCCTGGGTCACAAAGAAGCCATAATAAATTTAAAAAAAAAAATAAAATCATGCAAAATATGTTGACCAAAATGGACTCCAATGAGAAATCAATGACAAAAAGAAAAAAAAAGAAAGAAAAAAAAAACTACAGGCAGCACTGTTTACAATAGCAAAGACCTGGAACCAACCCAAATGCCCATCGATGATAGACTGGACAGGGAAAATGTGGCACATATACACCATGAAATATTATGCAGCAATCAAAAACGATGAGTTCGTGTCCTTTGTAGGGACATGGATGAATCTGGAGAACGTCATTCTCAGCAAACTGACACAAGGACAGAAAATGAAATACCGCATGTTCTCACTCATAGGCGGGTGTTGAATAATGAGAACACATGGACACAGGAGGGGAGCACTACACACTGGGGTCTATTGGGGGGAAAAGGGGAGGGACAGCGGGGGGGTGGGGAGTTGGGGAGGGATAGCCTGGGAAGAAATGCCAGATGTGGGTGAAGGGGAGGAAGGCAGCAAAACACACTGCCATGTGTGTACCTATGCAACTATCTTGCATGTTCTGCACATGTACCCCAAAACCTAAAATGCAAAAAAAAAAAAACTAAAGGAAAATCTCCAAATACTTGGAAATTGACCAACACACTTCTAAGAAATTCATAGGTCAAAGTGGAAATCTCAAGGGAAATTTTTTAACTACATAGAATTGCACCAGAATGACAACACAATATACCAAATTGGTGGGATGCAGCTCAGACAGCACTGAGAGAAAAACAGAGGGTTCAGTAAGGTTTCAGGGTGTAAGATCAACATTCAAAAACGGATTGCATATCTACACACTAATAACGAAGAAGCGGAAATCACGACTGGTACCTGCGACACCATCTAAAGTCGCTCCAGAGATAGTAAGAAGATACATATGAATACATCTAACAAAACATGTACAGGATCCGTAAAATAAAAATTACAAAATGACAAGGAAGGAAATCAAAAATCTAAACACTGAAGAGACATATTCATAGAGTGAATTCATACTCAACAGAGTTAAAAGGTCAATTCTGCCTAAATTGATTGATAGGCTTAACAAAATTCCTGCTATATTGTAGATGCAGACAAACTTATTCTAAACTTTATAAGAAGAAGAAAAGCTTGAGAATAGCCAAATAACTTTGAAAAAGAAGAATAAAATGGGGGAAATCACCCTTCCCAATATTAAGGCTTCCTACAAAGATAGAGTAATCAAGACAGTGGTATAGGCAAACGGAGAGACACAGAAATCAAATGGAACGGAGTGGAGAGCCCAGGAAAAAATGATCCCTACAAATACGCCCAACTGATTTCTCACAGGAGCAAAAGGAATTCCATGGAGGAGAGACAGCCTTTTCAATAAACGGTGCTGGAGTATTTGCACATCCACAGGCAAAAGAAAGAAATAAATCTGACGTAAGTTTCACACCTTCTACAAAAACTAATTCAAAATAAATCAAGGACTTAAATATAAAACCATAAAACATGTAGAAGAAAAATCAAAGGAAAGAACTTTGGCACCTTAACGATTAGACAAAGAGTTCCTAGACACACACCAAACACCATATTCATAAAAGGAAAAAACTTGATAAAAGTTGGACCTCATCAAAATGAAAAACTTTTGTTCTGTCAAAGGTCAAGGCAACAGAAAAAAAATTACAGTCTGGGAGAAATTTTCTGTAAACCATGTACCTAACAAAGGACTCGTATCTAGAATAAAGAGCCCTCAAAACTCAACAGTAAAAAAAAAAGAAAGAAAACGTAATTAGAAATGAGCAAAAGTGATGAACACATTTCACTCACAAGGATACTCAGATGGCAAATAATCATATGAAAGATGCCCAGTATGATTACACATGAGAAAAATGCCATCTAAACCACAACTAGGGATCACCACACACCTGTGAGAATAGCTAAAATAAAAATGGTGAGAGGCCGGGTGCAGTGGCTCACGCCTGTAATCCCAGCACTTTGGGAGGCCGAGGCAGGTAGATCACGAGGTCAAGAGATCAAGACCATCCTGGTCAACACGGTGAAACCCCATCTCTACTAAAAATAAAAAATTAGCTGGGCATGGTGGCACGTGCCTGTAATCCCAGCTACTCAGGAGGCTGAGGCAGGAGAATTGCCTGAACCCAGGAGGCAGAGGTTGCAGTGAGCCGAGATCATGCCATTGCACTCCAGCCTGGGGAACAAGAGCGAAACTCCGTCTCAAAAAAAAAAATGGTGAGAACACCACAGGCTGGCAAGGATGTGGAGAAACGGGTCATTCGTTGCTAACGGGAATATAAAACGGAAGAGCCAGTCTGGAAAAGGGGGTGGCAGTTCCTTTCAAACTAAAAATGAATTTACCATACAATCCAGCAATTGTAGATAACTGATCCTAGAGGAATAAAAACTTGTTTTCACACAGAAACCTGTAAGTGAATGTTCATAGAGCAGCTTTGGTTTGTAACAGCCCCAAAGAGGAAACCCCAAATGTTCTCCAGTGGTTGAGGTGGGATGGGAACGATGGAAGATGGACAGTGCGTGGCTACAGTG